AAATCATGTATGTACCCTTCCACAGTTAAAAAAATTTAGGTCCGACATGGAGACCTCTTCTGATACCATCCAGTCGCATACTAAATATCCCACGCTCGGGCTGCCGAACGTGAGATCGAGTACCTCCTCTCTAACTCTAGTAATAAAAGTTGGGAAATTCCCTACGCTTAATACCTCTAGATTCTCTTTAATTATTTATTCTAGCAACGACCTCTATTATTGATATCACTGCTGCCCCATGCTTCGTGATGTGCGTTTGCGTGACATCCGATGATGAGTGGCCACTTCTTTTTATCGCTGTGCTCCACCAGCTTTTACACTCCCGATGGTGGGACAATTGCCCCGTTCCCCGGAAAGTATGCCGATGCCAGTGCCACCTCCATTTATTTGCTTCCAGTGTTAATGCAGGCCTTGACAGGTGTGAGATCCCCTGTCATATACTCTGAAAGTAAAACATAATTAATATTTTTCCTCATGAGAATGCAGGCTCTGGGTAGGTCCTGCCCATAATCCCATAGTACCAGAACATCTCTAATTGACAATCCTTTGATTTTTCCTCCATAAACCCAGGGTTCTTGTACCGTAGCTATGCCCAGATGTTGTTTCGTGAACATCCTTCCCAGGACGGCGGATGCCGCCTTAGCATGGTGGAGGTTCACCTGTGCCACCCTGGTGTCCTTGCCTTTCATCGCTTCTGAGTGCCGAGAGGAAAATCTTCCTCTGCCATTGGAGCATCTCGCTCTCGACCTATTCGGCATGGTTGAACCTACCCGACAACTCCACTGCAGTGTCCGCCGACACAGCACTCGTGTTCATTGGCCCTACATAAGCCGGCAAGGTGGAATCTCACTAGACGGATAGTAAGTCTAAATATCGACAATAATTCATGCAATTTGCTGCATCAAAGTAACATAGATATTAATACACTGGAAAAAAACAGTGCAAACGAATATATAGTTAATACACCATTAGATATTTATAAGAACAGGTCACGCAGTTTAAAGACAACAAAAGTAGAAAACAAAATAACAACATTACTCTTTGTGGTTATTTACTTAGCGAAGGAAATAAATCTTCAAGCCAAAACTGTAATAGCTTTCTTATAACAAGTACAGATTTAAATTTTAAGCTTAAAATTCTTAGAAATAAAATGTTGGCTGGTGTAGATGAAATACCTAATATGGTATTAAAAAGCCTAAGTTCAAAAATTAATTTTTTTGTTCTTCATATAAACCCTATATATTTTTTTAAAAATCATAAAATGTATACATATATTATATATTATATTATATAAGTATATAATATTATCTACTGTAAAACAAGCGTAATTATTTCATCTTCAATTTTCTGAGTAGCATTTTTTTTGGAACTACTATCAAACCTTTCTTTATCTTTCTTCAGATCTTTTTTTGACGTATTAAAACATTTTTTCTGCCTTGGCAAACTAAGGCTGATTATGTTTTCTTACTTTTTTAAAAAAAAGTATAAGCTTTATAAAAGTTTATACTTTCAAACTTTATGAAAAGCATAGCTTTTCAAATTTTATTTTGAAAATTGAATATGCCATTTTGTGGAGGAAAATTGTATGTGCATTTGATTTTGTAAACAGTTTCGAATATTAAAAACATCATTTACTCTAATAAACAAATTTTGGTAAAATAAGGGACTTTTCAATCTTATTAATAGCATGTGTTAATTTTTTTAAAAAATTAAAATAAAATTTACATTTAAAAATGCTAAAAATCTTATTAATACAATTGATGTGTGTATGTAATGCTGTCGTTATCAGATTAAGAAAGAATAAACTACACAAAAGGTATTTAAATAAAAAAATAACTTTAACTTCTTATATTTTCTTTTAAAAAAGTGTAATTTTCAATGTTGTAATCTAAGAAGAGGTATATATTCGTAAAGTATTTAAGACAAAAATTTGTTCTGTCTAAAAAAAAAATGTATCTTTAATTTTGAGTTATGTAAAATGTTTGAGCTAAACATAAATAAATAAATAAATACAGAAAATATGTACTTTTAGAAAAAATTAAATTAGTGTTCACTTTCAGTCAGGAAATTTTTATTTAACAAAAATTTAAATTTTCCTAATATAGACTTAACGAACTTATAAATTTTTTTTCACTTTTATGAAAATAACCAACCAACTTAAACAAGTGCACGTATTTCACGTTATGTTTCCAAACGATATTTTTCGAAGCTGACTTTCGGGTACATCTACACTTGTTCAAACTTTGTACACTTTAGTTGTATATCTGGCACTTAACAGTAGATTATCTTGTTTGATCACATTTTTCTTTGAAGCTATAGGGTCATTTCAAGCTTTTATAAAGTTAAATAATGGAGGTTAAAAATAAAATTAAATACCTATATTCATGTAGTAAAATTGTACCAAAACTTTTTTTAGGCATGTTATGTGAAGTCAAAGTCGTTCTCAATTACTTGTTGTCGATCATATGTATACCTATATTTTAAAAATTGTGTACATATTCATAAAAAATATATATTGGTATGTTAATTACAATTTTTGCAGAATAATATACACAATTTTTTTGTACCTTTAGAGGTTTCATTAAGTTCAAATTTGATTTATTAAAAATTATTATCTAAAATCTCTCTAATAAAAATATCGAAAATTATTATTTTTTGAATTTATGTACATATGTATGAATATTATGCACATACAACGTATTTTATGGAATTTTACCATTCTGAAAAGTTAAATTCTACAGCACAAATATCCCAAATATTTTGTAAGATAAAGGTTATTTAAAACCTGCGGGTGTTATTTTTCCCACAATTTTTTCAAAATAAAATGTTATCTATAAATGAATCGCATGCGCTAAAATTACCTCAAAAAAGCTTCTCGTTTTACTTTATGAGCAAATTTTATTTCACTCATATAAATTAAGATAATACGAATTAAGATACATAGCATCACTAGCTGTGCACTAATGTACATATTATGTACATAGATTGCACAGCCATTAATAGTTTATGTTTATTACTTACACATGCAGTGTTGCCATGTTTTCTATACTATTTGTCTTAAAGCTGGAGACTATTTGGCATAAAGTTAAAATACAAATAAAACCTGTAATATCATTAGGTGCCGATTAAATTTAAAATCGTAATTCGAAAACATGCAGCTAATTTAAAATATTTGTACATTTATTTTAATGTACCTTCATATACATATATATTTTTCAGTCATATTTTTTTAAATTGTATCAGGTCATGACGATAGCATTTTAAACTTATCATTACTAGAATATTTTATAAGGAGTTAAAAGTTTTTGAGCTGCGTTCAATCTAGATATCGCACACATTTTTAAAGAATGCTTGTTTTAAATTTAGCTTTAAATTAAAAAAGAAAAAAAAATTACAAGTTAAGGAGGTTTTTCTGCCATTTTTCCAAGTTATAAGCTCCACCGGTATTAAGAAAATGTAGTAGTTTGTTAAAAATTGTGAAATTCATTATAGATGAAGCCACTGCTCATTATGGATGTTTAATAAAATATGTACATGTAGTTTTACAATTTCTGTTTATAATCATCGTAAATCTAAAAAAAAGAAGAAGTTAAATTGAAAGTTATTCTAAAACGAATTAAAATATTCTGCAAGCTTTATATTTTTTTAATTTAGTATGAAAGTTTGCAAAATATCTTTTACAAAACCTGAATTATTATTTGATTATTTTTCACTTCAGATATAATTGCTTTACTTAAATTTGCTAGCACAAGTTAATAAATATAAAACTAGATGCAGGTATTCCAAGATTTATAAAATGACACAATTCCTTTTAATAATTTTAGTTTAGAGATGTTGGATTATTAGTAATTGTCATTATAAATTATTAGTATAATTGCCGTCATAAATCCAGGTATATGACTCTCTGAATATATGATAATACTCGTAATGATATAATTGCATAAATGTAATAGAAATTTTAGAATAATGATTTTCATAAACTAATATTAATTTGAAGTTGTATCACTAACTAATCTGATTAAGAGATAAACGCACGTGTTTAGATGAAAAGTGAACCTTTTAAATATTTGCAACACAGAAGTTCGATAATGTAGAAGTTTTGTAAACAGACCAACAGCCCGACGAATGGAACTACTGACGAACCCATTGAGAAACAGTCAGTTGAACAAATTGCCAAAAGCATTAAGAAACTGTTTTCAGAATATTTGAATTCATTTAGGTTAAAATTTGTCAACGTTATATAAAAAAAAACCCAATATTGAAAAGTGTTATAAAACTTTTTTTCTAGACGAACATCATTTAAAAAAAAAAAATTGAAAAAAACTCATATTTTAGTTATTTTCCTTACAAGATTAGAACGTTGAAAACTAAGAGACAAAATAACCATATTATGCAAAGTATTCAGTCAGAAAAATTTGAGAGATATTTTATCAGGATATGTATTTTCACTCATAATTTGCATATATGTGTGTATGTATGTAATAAGTTTAGAGCTATATGTATAACATACCATGTATTAGAACGCTATGTATACAACATAAAACGTATCATATTAATAATATGATTTTTTTCATTTCCCAGTTGATTTTTTCTCTTTAATCGAAGGAAATTGCGAGCGGAGGGGTTTTTTTTTTTTTGTAATTCTTTTAGTTAATATTTAGGGATATGAATCGCGATTTTTTTTATAAGAAAAAAGAAATATTAATTATTTATGAAAGAAACACTAAGGAATAGATAGATATACAATATTTATGTGGAAATACTCCCGAATTAAAAAATTAATTTTAAAAAATTTCAAAATCCAAGACTGTGTACTTTTAAATATCCTTGGAAGTAATTCATATAACTTTAAAATTTGTTATTATTAAATTTGAATAGCTAGGCATATATAGATCTATTTTAGCAAAGGATTATTAAAAGGTTTTAATGAATAAGCAAAATTTAAAAAAAAAATTTAAAAATTTAAAATTAAAATAATCCAAATTAAGGAAGTGGTAAAAAGTAGCATCGAAATTCTTTTAAGAGTTGTGTATATACCCTTACATTTGCATACATATATAGTTTTTATCATATATAAATTGTTAATTTATTATAAATTTAAGTAATACTTAAAAAGTGTTAAAATCAGATACAAAAAAAATATAAAAGTATGTGACGTGAATCTTTTTTGAACACGACCAATATATAAGAAGAAAAAGAATTATGCATGGTGAGTTTTCCACACATTATGCACATTTAATAATTTTCTTATTGTCATTTCAACTTAGATAGGATTAATACTGCATAAATTTTAAAGACTTTGCTATATGTATAAACCAGTAGTGGTCCGAGATATTTACTTAAATGGAAACATAACATTCGTTTGAGATTTTTTTAAATTTTTGTTAATTTTAATATATTCTTCAACAATTTTTAAACTTAAATTTTTTACATCTTCTCATTTAAATAAATTTTTGAAAAAAAAAAAACAAACAACTGTGAAATTAAGGAAACAGGAGTCCTTTCCTGAATTCTATTGACAAAAAAGTAAATTAAAAATTTCAAACCAATTTTAAGTTTTCATTCATATTAAATAAAAATATAATTTAAATTTTTATATAATAAAACCCTAAAATACTGATTTTTTGGAAATGTAAACGGTTATATCACTCAAACCATGAGACGTAAATATGTAGTATACCACACCAGATTCAAGGTAAAAAAAAAAGCTTGTTAAATAGATAAGAAAAAAGTACTTCAAAATGATACTTTTCGAAAAACAATCGTTTTTTCATAGATTGAATGTTAATTAAAGGAAGACGAGAAAAAATACCCGTACCCGTACGAATTGTGCGAATAAATAAGCCATAACTGACTATGACAGACAATGACTTTAAGTTGCCGTAGTACCATATTAATTTATGTAACATTTCAGTACTGGTTTTTTCAAAATACTGTGTGTGCCAAACTGCTATTGAAGTTGTACGACAGCTATCAGAAGGAGCGAAGCAATTTCAACGACTTTTAACAAACACATTGGCCCTACTAATATATTCACTTATGTAAAATTTCAATACCATAGCTTTTATAGTTTCTGAGATATAGCCAAATAAATTTTGAAGTTGTATGGCAGCTACCCGAACCGGTACCCCGATCATGCCCAATTAAAATAGGGTTCTGGCACTTACTACAATATATCATTTGTGAAATTTTGGTGAACTTAGCTTAATTAGTTTTTGAATTATCGCTGGGCCGGCCGGATGGACGGACGGACAGACAAAGCTAAATCAACTCAGAATTCGACGGTGATCAAAAACATACACCTTAGTCTATATCTAAGACTGTTATTTCTTAGCGTTACAAACGGTAAGACAAATTTCGTATACCCTTCGAACATACGTTCGTACGGGTATAAAAAAAACCCAATACATCTTCGAAATCGTCTAAGAGATGATTTAACTTAAAGTTTTAAGTAAAAAGAAGTAATAATTTTAAACAAAAATTCAACTTTTCCCAAAAAGTAACCCCACATAGATATTTAGCATTATACATAAAAATGTTCATTTACTTCAACCTTTTATTTTTAATTACCTGTTAAATTTTTTTTTAAAATTCTTCATCACTCTAAATAGGGTTTTTCTAGAAGGTTGTCTACAATAGGTCTGTCTGGTATAAAAAAGTTTTTAAAAACCATAAAATTTGAAAAAACTTTATATAGTTTTTGAATGTAAAGCGTCTGGGATTATAATTTTTCAACAAAAATGAGAGAAATCTCATTTTCTAAATGTTTGAAGTTTTTTCTAGTTTTGTAAAGTAAAATTCAGTGTTTTAAAAACTTTTAAAATCTTAAAGTTGTCAAAAGAAGAAGATTTAAATTTTTTTCATCAACAATAATTTTCTTTACAAATTTTAACTAAAAATAAAATAAACAAAATGAATTCACATTTTTTTCTATACTACAAACATAAACAAAAAATATTTGTTTATGTTTGATAAATATTTTGAAATTTGACTTTTATATTAAATTAGTTTAGTTTTATGAATCTAATATTTTGTTTTATAAACAGAGTACTGAATCCAACTAATCTATTCTATTTAATTGAATAACTAGTACTGAATCCAATCCAATAATTTAGTTTAGTAAATTTTACTAATGCAGTTTTTTCGGTGATTAAAGTTTTTTAGTAATATATGTATATGTACAAAGTTTTTGGTAACAACTACAATTATTGAAACTTTACAGAGACGTGTGACATTAAAGTAACGATTTCAACAATTATTATTTTTACGTTAAGATGACATTACTTGGCAAAATAAATATAAAAACTTATATTAAAAATGAGTTATAAAAATAAATAAAAATATATACATACTCGTACATATGTAATTACATAATATAAAATTATTATAATCTAATAATCTTTTTGTCTACGTAATGAATTCTAACAAAATTTTATGTACAAAATGAAACTTAAAAACTTGGATAATATAAAAAATTCATAATTTTTAATTCCTTTAATTAGGAGTAATTAAAATTATAAATATTGCTTGAAAAAATTCCAAGCGTTAATAAGGACTATTACCTTTAAGGACCATTTCTCTTATATCTTAAACGAAAATTCTTCGCAACAACAAGAACTGTACTGCGCTCTAATGTGACTTCCTTGTAATTATGACGTATGGCTAGAATTCGATTTACGTGAGCGCATCACTACAACTACTTAACAAATCAATGATTCGAAAAATAGCACTATGCCTTGAGCAAAGGAGAATACTCTCTTAAAAAAACAATGTGCTAGGTAGAATTTATTTTTTTAATTAATATTACTTTTTTATTACTTGGAAAAGCTTGCGTTTTCAGATATATGAATAATGCGACGAAAATCCGAATTTTTCTAACGCCTTCCTCTTGTTCCTAGTCTAATTTCTAGACTAGGAAGAAGAGGAAGACGAGAAAAAAATTCCTTTAACGAATCATCTAATATTATAGATTTTAGACAACTACGAATTACATTGTTAAAGGAAAACGATCTGAAAAATTTGAAAAAATTGGGTTTAGTTGGATAACGCTTGATGTTAATAGCCAAAAGATTTCGATAAATAATCAAAAAATGGCATAATATAAAAAATCTTTTAGAGAACTAAGTTTCCATTAAAGATCTATTTGTATATAAAATTTATAAAGTGTGTAGAAGTTCTATTTACGAAGAAATAAAATTTGTAATATATAAAATTTGTATTTTTAAAGTTTTGTCTGGAAAACTTTTACAGAGCAACTAAAATAAAACTTATACATATTTGTCAACCAAAGCAATTGAACAAATAAAATAAAAGAAAGCAAGCAAATAGAATTTTTTAAGTACCTTGTATTATTAAGTAATTAATCCACCAAGAGCTTTTGTGTGTCTGAATCAAGTTTGGAAATGGTTATTGGAACTACTAACCAACTTTCAGTGAAAAGTTCTGGTTTTTAATGTCTATTTATGAAATGGTTTCGACATTAGAAACTGTAGGGCTTCGACTTAAGTCGTAATTGGATAACTTTTCAAAAAGTTTGATTACATTATAACTAGATATAACTAGATAACACTATACTAGAGTGATTGCTTTTTTTGCCCGCCCCTCTCTAACAATTTTTTTTGCTGAAAATTAAGCAAAGAATCATATCTGAAACTATTTGCCACCTCATGCGAAACACTATGTATAATGAGTATAACTAATATGGTCTCTTCAAATCCATAGCACTTAGTATATTAAATGTGTTGGAAAAATCTATGTATGTATTTTTTTTTTATTTTTGTAAATACATAATTTATAATTGGAAAAAGTCTTATAATCAAAACTTTATGAAAATTTTTCCACAAAATCGTCTGTGAAAACATACTCCTCCCTCTATGAAATAATTAAATTATTGAATTATTTTTTTCTTCTTTTAATATATTAACGTATACATAAAAATATAGACTTAGTGATTGTATTCAAAAAGACTTTAAAAAGTGAACGAATATATGTACACTTTTTCAAAAGAATTTTGATAGCCTTTAAATGAAAACATGTATAAATGTTAGTGTCAAAAGGAGAAATGTGACCATTGGGTATTTTATTGTTTAGAAAATGTCTTAATGAAGGCGGGCCGTATAATTTTATGTTTCTATAACAGTTTACAAAATATATACAAATCACAAGTACATATACAGATATATGATAAAAATTACAAGGATCTAATAGACAGTTTCTGCTACCTATAAATTTAGTAAAATACTTTAAGAATTTTAGTCTTACTATTCATAAACATTAACCTTGTTTATAAGGCAGCTTGAGTACTTGATTTGAAATCATTTCAAAATTTAGCTATTAGATTTCAAATCAAGTTATGAGAGTGTACATGTATAAATTTTATGATGCAGGTATGTATACATGTACATATTAACATACATACATGACAGCAGTACTTCTACTTATATATTAAATTATACTGTTTACGTATCCGGACAAATCTAAGCCTAAAGTTACGGCAAGTCTGATGACTGTTTACATGTAAGACTGAAATTATTTGATGGGGCCTAGACTTTGTGTTAAAATTTAATTTTTTTTGTATATAATATTGTTTTATTTCCAATTTCTGTTTTACAATATGCTTCATATAATTATAGCTCAATTTTGTTGCATTTAACAATTATATAGAATATAAAAGTATTTCATAAGATTAATTAAATGTATTAAACTAATTATACTATGCGGAATTCAGTTTTTCATATAACTCCATTGCAATAAAAACAAAGAAGAAAAAATGACTGTAACATGCCAAAACTTTAATCAAAATTTGAACAAACCTGATGAGAATAGAGTAACTTCTTTATTTGCCACCTAACAAAGTCTGATGTTGAACAGTGTTTACATAAACGACTTTCGTCACAGTCAGATTTAGGCATTCACCTAAATTCACGAATAGTGCGTAGTTCTTGTGTCAAGGGTTTTCACACCCGTACATTTTAAATTAAATGACCTAAAGGAACTACGCGCCTACCTAATTTACTGAAAATTTCGATTTTGAAAACCGCTTAGATACATTTTTTCTCTGCTTTTTTTGATTTGTTGTCTTTTCTAATGTCAAACTGATCTGCTCATTGAAGACATTTAAAATTATTAGAAAACCAAAAAAATTTAAAACCCAAATAATTTGCTTATAATAAATTTTCAACAGTAAATGTCAGGCTACATAGCGCCAATTTGTTATACGTAACTATGTACCCTACGCATCTTTTTACGTTAATTCCTAAATCTTATTTTTGTCGTATATATAAACAATAACTAATACCACCGGTATTTGAATAAAAATTTTAGATATAAATTGTAAGATCAATTTTTTAAATAAAATATAAAACTAGCAAAGTCACACGAAGTCCAAATTGCAAGCCAAAAATTTTTGATAATGTCATATGACCTTAGTTGTAAAGTTTACTTTTTGTAGATGGCATTGATGAAGTATAAGCTCAAAATGATGGGCTAATTTTTTAAAAAATAGTCTTTTTAACAAATTGGATCATAATCAACAATGGACATACATATGTATGTATGTACTAATACTATTTAATGCAATAATTATTTCATCCTTTTAAGATTAAAATAATGATTACATAAGTTAATATAATGATCGAATACAATGATTAATTAAGTACCGTTAACTTCTTAACTAATTGTGAAATTTGAAAAGCAGTTTTGAAAAATAACATTTTTAGAACTTAGGGTTAGGAGATAGGTAACAAATTCTAGAGATTTAAGTTTTTTGCAAAATCTTCAGCTTTCCACCCTTAACTATGTAGAAGTTTTGAAAATAAAACGAAAGACAGAGTGAAGCTATTAAGCACATTTCTTCAAATTTTGCTGGTAATCTGCTAAAAAAGAAAACATATTATAATTCTTGTTATTTCTTCCAAATTAAAATAGTAATAATCATTGGTAATATTTTCCACGCTGAGTTATTTTTTATTGATACTTAAAAGTAATTAAAAAAATTACTACCAAATAAATGTATGTAATTTGTTTCTTCTATTTACAAAAAAAATTAAAATCAAAATAGAACGGCATATTTTTAATAAACCGTACGGCTAAAAATTATATAACGTGGCTCTTTGCATCAGGTTTCACCAATCTGCAATTCTCTTAAAAATAATAAGTCTAGTGAATATAAGAGAAAATTTAGAATATATTTTTTGAATAAACAATTAAACGCCATAAAATAAAACATTGTCTGTGTGAAACAAAGCAATTTTTGTACTTTTGTGCTTCAAATAGTGGACTTGAAATGATACAATAAAATAAAGATTAATATATAAGAATAGGCACTTATAATCAGCACTATTCTTTATGGCAGCCTTAATAATTTAAAAACATAATTCATCTTACTTATTCATCTTACCTAAACTGGTTTACATCCACTGAACTCACAACAATTTTTTTGTTAAAGAATTATTACTAGCTATTACTTGTTTGGTATACCTTTCATATTTATTTCCAAGATATTTTGATAAATTATTTTGTTAACAAATAAAAATTTTATATATTTAATTTTGTTCATTTCATACATTTAACTTTGTTCAGTTTTGTTATAATTCATTTCTATCATTAAGTTTTCTTAAAATTTCTTATTGTTAATTACATACTTCTTAACTTAGCTCTTTCAAAGATGATATAAGCAGGGAGATATAATTTCCTATAATAATAGTTTTCTTAAGAATTTCAAAAATAAAAGTATAACTTCTTTCTTAATGTTCTAATCTACCGTTTTCTTAAGTTTCGTTATCTAAGAAATTTCAATGAGGACCAAAAATTAACATAAAATTTACGAATTCAGTAAAATCATATCGAGAGTCCGATCTTTTAAATGCCGCAATTACAGTAAAATAGCGACATGCTTTTAAATATTTAAATGACATAACGTTAATCGCCATCTATGTGGTAAGTTGTAGAAAACCGTAATTTTAGCATGTTTTAGAAACTAATACCTAACGAGGGGCGGAGGTGAAAATAAATTTTCTAACGAAATTAATAAGCTATTAAATTTTCAGACTCCTAAAACTTGTGGTCTAGAAGAAATACGATTGAAAAATTCGGAATAAACGAATAACGGTAGATTTTAACTTCCATTTTTTTTTATAGCTCAATATGATAAGCCGCTATCGAAGTCAGCCAATATTTTTTTCTACGTTTGTAAAATTTGAAAAATGCTTATGGTTTTGTTACAATGAATAGTCAAAAAATTACATTTTTGGGTTTTTGAGGGGTTTTAACTTTTAAAGGGGGATGACAAGTAAAAATTTTCGTCTACGGAAATAAGTTTCTAGTAAAGATCTATGTACATATGAAATTTCAGCTTTCTATCTTCAAGGGTGTAGAAGTTTTCCAAACATGTCATGTTTGAGGTCGGACATGTTTGAGGGAAAATAATAAGCAGGTTTTTTTTAAATTTTTTGTAAAAGTGCTAAAAAGAGAATAGAAAAGAAAATAAAGTAAAATATGGAAAAAAGAAACAAAAAAAAATAATGAAGTTATCGAAACAATTTTTATTTATTTCTAAGAATCTTGTTTTTGTGTGACATATTTTAGTTTTATATGTAAGTTTTGTACAAGTATTTCCTAACTTTCAACATTTTGATTTCAAATTTTCTCGAAAATTGATTCTATTTATAATATAAAAAAATCTGATGTGATCAGCTCATAACCGACCCCATAAATATTCCATAAAATTATGATAATACGTCTGCTTTACAATTTTATGGACACTAATAAACTTTTACTTAACATTCCTACAAATATGTGAATTTGGCTCTTTAAATGTATTGAATTGTATGAAAAGTTTGTACTTTGTTGCCATCACATAACCTACCTTATTGTATACAAAATGCGGTCGGTAAAAAGAAGATAATTCTTTTATCGGTCTGTTCATAATGTCATTTTAATACTGTATAATATTAATACATAGAAAAGAATGTAATTATTAAAAGAAAAATTTTAGGACATCTTAATGTAAAGTTATATTAAGAAATTTTAGAAAATTAATTTAAAAGAATTCTGAGCTTTCATTTTTAAACGACTTTAAACGATTAATTTGGGGAATTTATCAGAAAGACGTGGACATAAGTACAGCTTCTGGTAAAAAATTACAAAAAGAGCAAACATAAAAATGAAAGAAGTGTATATGTAACTTGTTCGTAATCATGATTATGCTCCGGATTTCCTTTTTTTGTTTTTCTTTTTCCTATTTTTTTCGCTGTATAGAAAAAAAAGTAAAATCTGATGCAAATATACTTAGTAAGTATAGTATACCTTCGAAAACAGAAATTCGTAACTTTTTCACTTTGGGTTTAAGAGTAATCCGTATTTTAATTACGAATCAAATGATATGACACTTGACCTTTGATCAAATGATAAGACACACATTACCGAAAGATGTGAAAGGTTAGGAAAGCTAAATTACCTTGAAAAAATATCAACATTATTGCGAGTAAAACTTTTAAAATTTGAAAAATTAGCGTGAGTATTAAATAATAATAATATGTAAAAAAATGTATTGTTTTTTTTATGAAAAAAAATGCAGAGGAAAGCAAAAATTCTAAAAAACATTATTGTTGATGTTCCTCTTGTTTTGTATTACGGACGTAATTGTTAATCACATAAAATATCATTATTTTTCGAAACAAGATATGTCAAGTGCCTAGGTAACAAAATTTATTTAATATCGTACTAAAATGTTGTATTAGATGTTTTAGAAGAAAAGAATAATTTACTTTCTCGTTTCAGATTACCATAAAACTACAAATATTGCAACAAGTTATATATGGTATTCGTTCTAAATACAGATATGAATTCGCCGATGCTAAATGACTCCAAGGCACCAATTTATTGTGGAAAGTCTATGGATGACTTCCATACTGCGTAAGAAACTTCTTAATAAATTTTATTTTTATTAAACAGCCATCATATACTTTGTATCAAATTTGCTTGTAATTTCAAGAAGTTATGCAATTAATTAATTATACTGGATCTAATAGTTGTAATATGTGCTCCCAATATTCACTTATAGCTTTTATGTTAAATACATACATAGTTCATGTAACTATGTAGATCCGCTCTCAAAAAACTTGTACATTAGCAAAACGTTTTTCAAATTATAATCTTAATGGTAATCATATATTTTGCATATGATTTCACTAATATTCTCCATATAAAATTAATCGTCATTCAGTCAGTTTTATGGCAAAACCAAATTTGCTATTAAGATGAAGATTAAATATTAACATAATTTCTTTTTCAGTGATTAAACCAATCAACTACCCAAAGGCAATTTTAGCGATTGCTAATAAAAGCTATCGACATATAATCAATTGCTTCTTTAATTCTTTTAGGGGTAAGAAATTGCTTACTTTATCATCTTAGCCGACACGTTTTCTAACGAAACGGAAAACATCTTGTGTCAAGCCTAAGTCACACATTAATTTGTGAAAAATATATTTAATTTATTTTGTCTTTAATCTTCCATCCTAAAATCGATATTTAGTAAAAGTGACGATAATAAGCAAACAATTAAGCTCCTACAAAAATTTGATACAAGGGACTCATATTCAATAATTAATTGGAATAGGTAATAGAAAAACTTTTACTTTAAGTATAGTTTTCTATATTTTAATAGTATAGGTTTCAAAATAATGTACCGTGCACTTCATAAACTTTTTCTTATCTCCAACAGATATTTTCAACTACACGGCTATATTTCCCTTATAGTGTGCACTCTGGGTACAATTGCAAATATTTTGAACATTATCGTTCTGACAAGAAAAGAAATGCAATCACCGACAAACTTTATTTTAACAGGCTTAGCTTTTGCGGATTTATCCGTAATGATTGAATACATACCATATGCAACACATTCATATATTCACAAATATATGGGATACAGCGACGAGCAAATATATACATATAGTTGGACGGTATATGTAAAATTTCACTCAATATTTGGACAAATTTGCCATACAATATCAATTTGGCTGACCGTAACTTTGGCAATATGGCGCTATATTGCAGTTGCTTATCCCCAACGTAATAGGATTTTATGTGGCACCAGAAATACAGTAATTACAATTGCTGCAGCATATGTAATATGCCCATTAATAGTTGTACCGCCATCATATTTAAGTTTTGATGTAACTCACAAAGTGAAAACTGTTTCAGATTTTGATGAATACAATAATGAGAACATTTATCATTGGAAAGAAATAAACTCATCGGAATATGTAACAGAAACATTACATCAAAAAACTACATTTTCAACACATTTGAAAGGTGACCAAAGTTCGTTCAGAACTCGTAACATAACTTTATATAATATTCAAATAAGTGAATTAGCAAGAGAATACGAAATGTTGTATCATCTAAATGTATGGATATATGCAATAATTATAAAATTAATACCATGCATAGCACTTACAATACTAAGTTTAAGACTAATTGCTGCTTTATTAGAAGCAAAACGCCGACGCAAGCTTTTGGCATCTCATAATAAAAGTGAAATTAAATTAATTGGTGAGAAAACAGTTTCAAAGCCAAGAAAACATAATAAAGCATTGGAAAAAGAAAAACAAACCGATAGAACAACGAAAATGTTATTAGCAGTGCTGTTATTGTTTTTGATAACAGAATTTCCACAAGCCATTTTGGGTTTTCTCGTATTATATTTGGAAAAAACTTTTATGTTTAATTGTTATTTAAAATTAGGTAAGTAAATCACTCTTAAAACAAAGTTCGTTTTAACAACTTTTAATTTTTAAGTTGAAATTCATTTTATAATATATATTAAAATAATATGTATTAAAATTTAAAAATACACCTGCTCTAATAAGTAACATACTGTCAGGCAGAACCATCCCTGATGTTTACTCAGGGATGATCTAACTATGGTGAATCATGCATTGAGCGCTTCGTTGGCAAAGGCATGCTGCAAGGAGGTGTACTTTCTCCTCTTCTCTGGACAAAGTCAATTAGTTATTTCCAGCACGAGGTACAAGGTACCAAGCATAATTCAGCTTATACTCAACCGAATCCTCAAATCCTTTAGCAAGAAGGCTAGATCTAATTTTTAATTCGAAGCTGAAGTGGAAGTGAACTATTATGTAGAAGGCAACTATTGCACTTTACTCATATAAAAAGGCTATTGGGAAGAGGTGGGGCCTGAAACCAAACATGGTTTATTGGCTTTACACCGCAGTGGTGAGGCCGGTTCTGTTGTACGGTTGTATGTTCTGTAAACTTCAAATTGATAAACAAATTCAAAGAATGGCAATGGTGTGTATTGCTGGTGCGTACGCTCTACCCCTACTCAGGCTCTTTAGATTCTCCTCCATCTGCCGCCATTAGATATACTAGTCGGAAGATGGTTGCGAGATGTGCACTGCGGTTGCGAGCCGCGTCTCAACGCTTCAGTTCTAGCGGACTGGGCACACGTGGTGGGGAAATAGATTCTGTTCATTTTTGGATCATCGGATGCGTTCAGTTTTACACGGATGGGTCCAAACTCGATAACAGGGTAAGTGGGAGAATTTTGAGCAATTGGATGTTGAGCTCTCCTTTCGTTTAGCAGATCAATTTAGTGTAGCCAAGCAATTAATAGACCGAGCAAGTCGCGATTAGAAGGCTCTGCGCTGACTTGGTTGCAATATGGTATCGGCCAGTAGCCTTAAAATTTAAAAGCCAGCCCACGATAAGAGCATTGGACTGTGAGATCTCCACATCCAGTTCCAATATAACAGTTCTGGACTGCCGATGTCCGGCGCGGGTGAACTTCAGGCAGAAATTTCTTGGGTGTTTCTTCTTCGGGCTCGCTACGAACCTAGCGAATGTAAGCGTTAGGAATGGGGCCGGTTTTTGAGGAACTTGGGTTGGTTCGAATGAGGAACGGAAAAGGAAAGATCCAGCGGTACCACGGCAAACTAAAATAACACATTATTTGACATTTGAAAACCTTAAAATTTTTTTGCATTTTACTATTTAGTTCCCTTCCTTACTTAATAAGAAATTTTTTCTGTTTTAATTTATTTTAATTTAAGAATTTCTATTTATTCAACAAAAAATATTTTAACATACTTAGATTTATCACTTTTCCTTTTTAAAAAAAAAAATCGCACCAACAACAACAATAAATTAATAACAACTATTATCGCATTATTAACAAAACATTAACAAAAACACTGAAACTAACTTAAATAAAACATATGCGTCGAAAAATTTTTGGATGGACGATTTGGCAGACATTTCAGTGTTAAATTCGTATAAGGAAAAAGTTTCTGGCCTGGAAATAGTTCTGTTCCTGTAATAATTTTTAAAAATTTTGCTTTTGTGTGGACGTCTTGTGCGAAACAAATGAATTTTATAAATTTTGTATTAGGAAATTGTTTATTTAAAATTTTCTGAATTGTATTGCAGTTGTGATTTGATATTTGAGTAAATATCACTGTTTTATTGTCTGTTACGTAAGTTTTTAGTTAATTGCTAAGCTTGTTCATGTAAATCAGGTGTAAAGTAAATTTGTCTTTTGTCGTTTCGAAGACTTTTAAATTCTTGTGTAAAATTAAATGTAAGTATTATTTGAATTTTAAATCTGTTTAGCACGGTATTTAAGATTGGAATATGGCCCAATTGTTCCTATTCTTGTGAGTGAACCGTTGCTTGAAGAGAGATATTGTCATTGTTTATTGTTTATGCCATGTTTGTCGTTGTTATTAATGTCAGTTGATTCTCTCCTTTCGATAAGACTGAACGTCTCGGTCAGATTTATTTCATTGTATTTGCAATTGTGTTATCTTACAGTAATACTGCGCCTATAGAATATTGGCATCAGTGTTTACTTTAAACGACATTTCAATATTGGGTGGGATGTTAACAATATTTTCAATTGTTTGAATGCATTGATATATGTAAGTTGGATCTAGTGTATTTATTTTGAAATATTGTTTTAAATACTTATTCAATTACTGCGCAATTTTGGAATAATCTTGAATAAATTTTCTATAATTTTAAAATAAAGTAATTTTAAAGTAATTATATCCTGAATTTTTGCTTGGATTAATTGCATATGAAATTACACTTTGAATATTTTCAGATTCATTAAAATTTTTTTTAAGTTAACCATGTGTTTCTGCAAAGAGCTGCAAATGAGTATGTCATATTTAGATATACCATACAAATACGATTTATAAACTCTCTTAGTACCGAATTCATCAGCCGTTGGAATGTGGTAGTCCACTACAATATAACTTAATCGAGTGCACTCGTAGTGACCAAATGGAGTTGTAAAAGCTGTTTTTTCTGGTCTTCACGTTTCACCTCTATGTGGTGAAAGCCTTTTACCATATCTAGAGTTGTGACGAATTATGCACTTCTCTAAAATACTGTGGATGTTCGGTATTGGAAATTTATCGTCGATAAATATATCGTTAAACTTGCTGTGTCAATTACAATACACCATTTTTTTATATTGGAATTGTCCATCTTCTTTGGAACAATCGGTGAATTATATGGTGAGTTTGATTCCTAAATTATATTTTGTTTTCACAAGCCTTTAATTTGTCGGTTTATCTCTTCTTCATTGATTTTTGGATAGCGATAACTTTTGCAATATATTGGAACATTTGTTTTTAGTTTAATTTCATGTTTTATTTCTTGGGTTAAGGATAAATTATCTCCCTATTTGAAAATTACAATTTGAAAATTGTTTAAATAATCCTGGTTTATTTTAATGATAATTTCGTTATTAGTATCTGTCAACGATTCAACGTGATTCGCTTCGGCGATTTCGGTAATTAAAACATTTCAAGATATTGGTTTATAAAATCAATTTTTGCTTCAAAGGGTATTAAGAAATTGATACCTATTATTGCGCCGTATTTACTGCTTTTTAGAGGAACCTTCCATTCTGAAATCATTTTTTACCTAACATTTTTAGGACCTCCTAACGAGTAATAAGTAATAGGTTCTACTAAGCTTCGAATTTTATATTTTAAAATGTTTGGTTTTATCAAACTTATGTCTGAACCCAAATCTAATAGATACGAGTAGTTTATTTTTACATTATCGAAAGTTAATTTTATGATAGGAATTGTTTGTTCTCCGAGGCTAGTCTGTAAAATTTACCTCTTCGTTTACAGTACGTACTGAATCATTATTATGAAAACTGCAATTAAAATATTTATTTGGTTTACTATTGTTTCTTAATTTTTTATTATTGCTAAATTTGGTTTAAGTTACGATTTACACTTTTTAAATTAACATTATAATTATATATTTTTTCATAAACTCTGATTAAACCAAAGGTTTCTAGTAAATTATATGCTTCTCTTAAAGAACTAATATTTTTATTTAATATTAGAGAAGCTAAATGAGAATCGATATTATCTATAAAAGTTTTTAATACAATTAATTCATTATTTGTGAGGGCGAATTCTTTTGATTTGCCTGAGGTATATTGATATTTCTCATTTAATTTGCCTAGTAAATATTTTAATCTATTATCAAATTCGTTACGGAAACATTTTTTGTAGCAAAAATTTGTTGCTACGGATGGCGATACGATTTTGTGACTCCAAAATTGTTAATTATTGCTGTTTGGATTTCGTCCCACGAACGGCTTAATCCAAGAGTTCTTCAACGCTTAATGTGGTTCCTTGTATTTTGTTCAGAATACGTATATTTCTGCTGCATTATTGTTATTCGATAAACTCATCACAAAAGAGAAGTTTACTCTTTTGAAGGATATTAAATCATAAGAGTTCTCGACACTGTATTCTTATATTCTCTGAGCATCCTTGATTAAATTGTTGATTGATATAGTGAATGCACTTATTGGTTAGACATTTTCAGCTTGCATTTTGTCAATAATTACCGACCCTATTGCGTAAAAAATAGGTAGGTCCTGTGATGGCAACAAATTTTGCATATCGTCGCCCCAGAGTTATACTGTCGTACAATCCAAGTTCAAAAAAAATGAGTTACGAATTGATCAGGCTAAATTTTTCAAGCTCTTTCAAATAGTGTATTCCACCCTTGTCTAACTATTTTAGTTTTTAAGATATTTAGTAGCGATTTTGTCGTAAACGACGTTAAATATTAAAACTTTTAAGTAGTATCAACCAAATTTTGGTTTATACGACAAAAAGTCCATATAAATATAGCTAAAAAATTTTTCACAATTATTTTATTGTACGTGTCAAAAATAAGAACATGCGATCACAGTCTTTTATTATTATTTTATCGTATAAGCTTAATGAATTTGATATACCGCGTAATAACGACATAAAAAATTTGTAATCATTGTGTAGTACGTGTATTATGATTTGTATTGATGCTTTGAAAATCTGCTCTCATATTTCTAAATGTACTCTGTACCAAATTTGTTACCACATTTACTTGGGTAAGTTTTTTGTCTTTATAAAAGTATATTTGAAAATTTTGCATATTAAATAAATGTAGGTATACATTTCAATAATTTTTATGTAGCAAAAGTAAAAAAAAGTTTCCTTTCTTTTAACTTATACTTAGTATTATTTTTTCATTATTAACCAGCACGTATTGTCTAAATACATGTTAGTTAAATAACCAAAAAAAATTATATTGTGAAAAAAGTTAATAAAAAAGGTTTCTTCCAATTTTTGCTACGTAACAATTAATAAAATATTTCATTATTTCATAAAAATAAAATAATTAACGCAATTAATTGTATAAAATAGTATTCAAAGTTGAATTGGTTGATCTTGTTAAAATCTTGCTTAGATTTAGAATTAAATCTTAATAATGGATTAGTTATGAGAAATAATGGATGAAAGTACAAAAAACTCTGAATTAGGTATGCGATTTTGATTTTCGAAAAAATAACAAGAAAATTATGTAATTTATGCAATTTTAGATGAAGATTTTGACAGTGACGATTTTGTGCGAGATCCAGATAAAAAATTTTATAAAAATTATTCAATTGGTAAATTATTTACATTTCAGATACTTAAAGAAATTTTTTTTTGTATTATACTTTTTTATGTATACTTTCAGCTCGAAATTATCTCGAAAAAGTCCAGAAGTTTTAGCTTTACAAAATGAATTATCAGTAGTATAGATATGCTGATTCTGTGCCAGGAAGTGACGTCAACACGACGTGTTCTTATACGAGCTAATTTTTGTGGTTTTTTATAGTAAAATTTTACTATAATTTTTGTGGTTTTTTATAGTAAAATTGTGGTTATAAGAAGTGACGTCAACACGACGTGTTCTTATACGAGCTAATTTTTGTGGTTTTTTATAGTAAAATTTTACTATCAAAATTTTGTTTGTGGTTTTTATTTTTTGGGGTTTTCTTTTAATTGTGAGATCATAAGAATAACATTAAGTGACGTCAAAGCACCGTGTTCTTATACTACCTACTTTTTGTGGTTTTTTTTTATAATAATATTTTGCTATGACTATTTTGTTAATTTTGTAGTATTTTTATCAACATTATGTGTTTATAAACAATAGTAGAATACAACTATGAAAATAAGTAATTTATATTGAAATAAAATATATGATATTTGTAAGTTCCTCTATGGTGTAGTGGTTAATGGATAGGCAGCTATTAACACAGCTAAGAACACGGCGCTTTGACGTCACTTAATGTAAAAAGAAAACCCCAAAAAATAAAAACCACAAACAAAATTTTGATAGTAAAATTTTACTATAAAAAACCACAAAAATTAGCTCGTATAAGAACACGTCGTGTTGACGTCACTTCCTGAAAAAACCACAAAAATTAGCTCGTATAAGAACACGTCGTGTTGACGTCACTTCCTGGCACAGAATCAGCATATCTATACTACTATTATCCTCATATATTTCATGTGTTTTATTCTTTTTTTGTAACATATTATATATCGCTTAAATTAATATTTTTAGAATCTCACTGAGGTACCCGTGTAAGAACTTGCAAGAGACAGCTTCATATTAAAAATTGGAAGTAAAATAAGCAAATAAGGGGAGGTATATACGAGTATAACATTTTATTGAACATTTATACATAAATGTTCAAGAAAAAAAATTAAAACCTCCTTGCCAATCTACGTGTTTCTATCTTTACACTTTTGATGACGACTACAGTAACAAAATATTCCAAACTTTTTGACAGTTGGACAATGAAAAGAAAAATAGTTTCTATAGTACTCATTAAAAAACAAGTAACAAGACGACGTAAAAAGGATTCTAATAAAAAACAAAACAGTTTTCTATATTTCTTGAAAAAAATAATGAGAAGCGCTAGGTATATGTCAGGTAACAAATAATTTTTTATAGCTTTAAAATAATATGTATTAGTATTGTATTAGTATTAGTGCAAAAAATAAAACATTATTTAAAAAAAGACTAAGCATTTACTTTTTAAGAAAAATTTTGTTTATGATTAGAATATATTATAAAATAACATGCTAAGACTTTACTAAACAAAATGTAATAAAAGGGTTCAAATTTAATTATAAGATGTTAGTTTTTATTTTGATATAGAATTGAATACCTGTCATATTATAAAGAATAACTATAACAAACTATAAAACTTTATTTTGTAAAATGAAAGCTATTTAAAAAAAACTATTTTATTAATCTAAAATAATAAAATGATTAATAATCTAAACTTCATATGTTTCCTATAATTTTCAGAATTATAATGTCGTATGGCAATATTCTTTTGTCGAACGAGTATTGATATGGAAAAATTATGTAAAAAAATGCACATACGACAAGATGTTTCTGGACTGATCCTGATGCGTTTTAGGTTGGGTTAAAATCCCCCACTATTTATAAGTCTGATGAGATTTTGGCTCCGCCTCTCTTTATCTTTCGTTGATTTTTAACACTTGTGTTAAAAAAAAAATTTCCACGGTTGCCAATGCCACGGTTTCAAAAGCTTTTCGTTGTTGTAAAACTGTATTTAGACAGTATTTAGACTACATTATATATTTTCATACTGCAGTTTGAAAGTCACGAATTAATTTGTTTTGCCATTCTCTTTATTTTTATTCTTTTTGTTAATTGTTAAAAATATTAAAAATCGTCTAATTTTTTTAATAAAAATTGATTTGTTTTCTTTGCAGGTGATCTTATGGATATATTGGCTCTTATTAATTCAGGAATTAATTTCATATTGTATTGCTCAATGAGTCGACAATTTCGTCTAACTTTTAGTTTACTATTCCGACCAAAATTTCTAGATAAATGGCTTCCAGTACCACAAAACGATATCAGAACACAAAGAGGCACGGAAACAATTTATTTAACTACACAAGTGACTCAAATTTAACATAGCGAGAGATTTTTAATAAGGAGAATCGGCTGTCTTTGAAAAATAACAATAATTTAATCATTAAGCGGATATATAAATACAATTACAAGAGAATAAATTGTGGAATGAAATTAGGAAAATGGGATATCAAAGTATGGAAAGTATGGAGTTTATCAAAAGCTTGGAAGGGAAAGAAATCTCAAACATTTTTAATTTTTTATAATTTTTTACTGAAATTTGCAATTTAATTTTGACGTCTAAAAATATTGATAAAGATTTATTTATATTTTATCTATTTATAATAAAATTTCTATAAATTTTTAATATTTTCTCAAATTTTATGTTATTCATATTTAAAAATTGTAGGCCGATTATGTAGCGTATAATTAAAAGATTCATATCCTATTTAACAATCTCATCGCCAAGTGAATTTACTTTACTCTACTATTTTATTGAAAGTTTAAAAGCAGCTTTACGTTGTTCGAAATATGTTGCTGTTTCTACTCATGACAGAATGAAAATGTCAACATTAACGGATGTACATAAACTTGTTACATTGTTTAAAAGGCTATAAAAGTTTAGAAAATTTTAAACGATTTTTTTTTTAGAGCAATCATATGCGTACAATTTTTTAGATTGTACATGAATATTATATGTCTAGAATATAGACAAATGTACATGATTATAATAAATAAAATTTTATATATTTTGTTATGCAAACGAGCCGAGGAGTTTTTATAAGGGAATTAAATTGAAAAATAACTTTGTATAACAATGTCAAAAAATTAGCTATATAATTTTTATTTCAATAAAAAAAATGATATCAAATCAATTTTACAAAATGTAAGTAATAAACAAATAAAAACGTTTCAGTCGGTATTAACCAAGAGAATACTGTACTTGATAATATTACCTGCACTGTACTTGATATACCCTGCACTTTGACGATCTGAATTTAAAAATTTGTTCTTGAAATTACTCGAACCTGTTACACTCATTAGAAACTTCCCGGATATTAAGTCTGACCTATAAGGGGACTCGTGACCGCCAATTTTTATGAATCTAGCTTTAATATTTTTCAAATATTTAAATTAAATATTTTATTTAATTTTTAAATAATAAAATTTTCTTCTGGAGTTGTATAGCAGCTACCCGAATCTGTTAAGTCTTTCCACCAAAACTTAAAGGATATATGTATGTGACCTATAATTGGACACACGATGCCACCTTCCCGAAGGTGAAGGGGGTATAAAAAGAAAAAACACAATTGAATTTTGTATTAAACTTGAAATAAATTGTATTATTGCACCAATATTTGCATAATTGTAAAATAATTTAGGTTTTTATTAAAACAAACGTAAGTGATAAACAAACTAAAATAATTCTTTCTAGAAATTTATACATAGAAAAATTTTTAAATTTTTATTCCTAAAAATTTTTGAATAAATAGAATAAAAATATGAAAATGTTCAATTTTACGCGTGCCATAGAAAATTCGAAAATTGCCAAGTCTGGCACTAATATGTTCGTAATCGATTTTCCGCAAAGCGAATCTTTTTACTTACATTACTTTACAATCGCATAATTTTTTACCTAAACTTATATACATAGGTGCATATATATATTTCTGTCAATTTGCAAAATATATAGTAGGGAAATAAATTCTTTGCATTATTTTGCTCTGATCTCTGTTTTATATAAAACATTAGAGTACATACATATGCATATGTATACACATAGTCATAATGGTTTTTATGAATTTATATAATAATTATGTATATTTAAACAAAAAAATTCCTAGGAATAAGTTTTTTATTATAAAAATTGTAATTTTTTACTTTTTTTTTCGTATTTTAAAAATTTTCCGTAAATTCAATTTTTTTCCGTAGAAAGAGACTTTGGTTTAATTTTTGAATTCATTTATTATAAGATATAACTTTATATATGTATATAAATATTGCAAATACTTAATATTTATTAAGTATTCGCGGATTCCACTCCAATACCTGCCTTGGGATGGTTTCGGGCGGTCGTCGCAATGTTTGGCCTATCCATCCCCATTTTTTCTTCTTTACCCTTGCGATTAGTTCTTGGTGGGTTGAAGCCCAGAGGTCTGTGGTGCTGATTCGTCTGGGCCAGAATACACGGCAGATGATCCTTAGGCTCCTATTTATGAATACCTGTATTTTATTTGTGTATTCATTTTTCACTAGCCATGTTTCGGAGTCACACAACAGGGCCAGCTTCACACATTTGTTGAATATTTTCAGTTTTGTATTCCTGGATAAGTGTGAGGATTTCCATATGGTCCATAATCTGTCGAATGCCGCCTTAGCAAGTTTTAGTCTATTTTCAACGTCTTCTTTGACCCCTCCTGTTGTCGATATTATACTGCCGAGGTAGTTGAATTGTTCAACATCTTGTATAGCGGCTGTATTTATGACGAAGGGGATAGTGTTTGCTGCGTTGATTCGTTGCGATTTGGTTTTTCCCGTATTTATTTTCAGACATACCGCTGCTGCTTTCATATGCAGCTCGTTCAATTTTGCTTGCATGTCTGAATGTGTGTGGGGCAGCAGAGCGATGTTATCTGCGTATTCCAAATCCTGCAGGCGGCTCGTTAAAGTCCATTGTATGCCCCTTGAAGTGGTTGTTGACTTTCGCATTAATAATAATTCGGTATATATAATAATGTAATTATAATCAAACATGGAATGAATATAACAAGTATATAAGCAATATTATTTGAAAATTATCAACTATATTTGTATTTATCAGCGGCTTAAACAAGCATTGTAATGTGCATAATATTAATTCTTTAAATATTTTTATTATTTAATAAATAGTTTTTTTTTGTTAATTTGTAATTTTTTATTTTATCGATAAAAAATCATTTGTTGTTTTAAACTTTTTGAATCTTGTTGTTTTAAACTTCTGTCATCTGCTTAAGCAAAAAAATTTTTTTGTTGGTTGTCAATAAACTGGAAAGTGGAGATATTTTAGAATATTAGTATAATAATTGTATACATTGAAGCATTTATGCCAATAACTTGCTTATGTAAGCGCTCAGTTAAATTCGTTATTCAAACGGCAAATTGTTTCTTAAACCTCAACTTTGACATGGTTTTTTCTCTTGCTCATTCTAAAGAAAGAATATTAGGAATATAATGAAACTCAATGCCAGCTTCACTTCACGTCTTCACGAAATGTTTGGAATAAAATAAAAGAACATAGAAATTCAAAAAAGAAAATTTCAATTTTCACTGATGTAATTAGTGAAAATTGGATGTAAATTAACGTGTATACGTTTGAAAATAATGTTGTGGAATTAATGGAATTCAAAACTATATTCCGTTCTCGCCCATTTTGCAAAATATGTTAATTGACAAGAAGTGATATTTCTTTGACGATAGTATTAATTCGACTTTAAAATATCAACAGTCTCGATAGATGAAAGCTATCGATAATTCTCCACCCCTTATTTGAGGTCAGACCTATATTAAAGGAAAGATGGACCAAAGGATGTTATAATAGTTTGGTTCAGTAGGTATTTCATCTATACCATAAGATTTCTTATTATTTATATTCTTCAAAATTTTTTTTATTTCATTATAAGTGGTAAATATTTTATTGTCTAGTTTATCACTATCAGCCTTCCTATTATTATTAAATTCGATGTGTCTACCATTTGAATTGATTTTATTTTCCAATTTTTGCCTGATTTTCTTCTCAGTTATTTTAACTTGACGATTAAGAGCTATGTTATTTTTATTTCTAGTTCCATGATGTACATTTTCATAATATTTTGCTAAGACATTCATTTTTTCTTGATTATTAGCAACTATAAAATTTTCGTTTTCCTTATACAAAGAATTTTTTTTAATACCAGCTTCTTCTAGTAGGTTTTCTTGCTCTTGTTTAATTTTCAGATCGTTTATATTTTGACTATTTTCTTTTTTTCTAAATAATTTATTTATTTGATTAAACATATTCCTAGATGGTCTTACAGATTCTAATTCTTTTGTCCAACATTTATTTATTTCGATTTTAATATTGTCTTTTATCAACTTTTGTAAATTTTTTATTAGTGACTTACATTGGTTTATCATATTATTGTTTCTATTGGTTATATTTGTACGTCTTAAGTAGTTTAGTTTTTTAATCATTAAATTTTTACGTGATATTAATTCTTTAACTAATATATTTTCAAATTTGAGGGATGAACTTTTCAATTTAATTTTTGGTACACTATAATCAATAGCCATTTTTATAATTTCTTCTATTTTATTTAAATAGTTTTCTATTTCCTCATTATTTAGACTTCTATTATTATCTATTATAAAATTTGAATTCAACAATTTAAGTTTTTTATAAAATTTTTCCAAATTAATGTTATTATAGTTTCGCCTAGACTTATGCAATAATTTTTCGATGTAGAATTTACTATTATATTCTTTCTCTATGACTATGAGTACTGCTTCACTATCATAATCTATTGTTTCTAATTTCTCCGTAAAATCGTTTGTCATTATTCCCAGTCTTGTGTCCACTAACGCAATATCTAGAAACGAATTTGCTCTTGAAAATGTTGGGTATTCATCCTACATTTATATTCGATATCTTTTTCAGACAAGAATTTTTTCAAAATATTGCCCTTACTATTATTGTATCTGTTTCCCCAATCTTGATGCTTAGCATTTAAGTCTCCTGCTATAACATAATAATTATTGTTATTGCCTAACTTTAACTCATGAAAAATTTTTTGTAAATCTTCTTTAAATTCATTTCTGTCATTATTAGCTGAGTATACTGATAATATATATGTATAAGTTCTGACTTGCATTAATTTTTAAATTAACGGCCGATATTTCTATACTAATAGAAATATCGGCCGTTCATAGAAAATGATCCTTTAATTTCTTTATGTTTCATATCTTCTCTAATCAATATGGCAGTTCCCCCAGCTCTCTTGGAATTCCTTCTATCATTCCGAATCAAAGTATAACCCTTGAAATATAGCTTATGTCTATAGTTCAATTTTGTTTCATTTAAAAGCATAATATCAGGCTGATGTTTTTCTAAAAAATATGTTAATCCTATTCTTTTTTGGTGAGAGATTAAAGAGTTTATGTTTAATGAAATTATTTTAATACTACTTATTTCTATCATTAACAATACTAAATAAGATTTCTATTTGTTTACTTTGTTCTGAAACTTTATTATCTAATATGTTTAATCTGTTATTAATTGATTTAATTTCATTTACCAATTCTGTCCATGGAGGTTCAGTTTGTCGTGAATTTTCAAGTTCATTCTTCTGCACCACTCTTGTAATT